AAAAAAAAAAAAAAAAAAAAGCTTGCCAAACTTGCACACATGAGGCTACTGCAGCTTCCCAGCAGGAGAAGAGAACATTACAAAACACCCCAAAAAATATTCTTGAGAAAATGGTGGGAAGTAATGAGCAAAACAGTCAACTGAATCATAGACTACCAAACCCTAATGGGCTTGAAGACAGGATCTTTACATTTTGTTTGAGGAAATAGTAATTTAAGATGGCGTTAGTAATCTGTTTTATTTTCCTGTTACTTACCTGGTAAGGATCTCCACCTTCTTCACCACTAATAGCATTTTAACCACGTTGCCTATGCAGGTACCTCCCCTGGTGGTACAGGGGAGGTCCAGTAGCTGATTGGATCCCTGTGATATTCTCCATTTCATATCCTTTTCTTTGCTTGCTTTTGTGTCCTATATCCAGTCTATTTCAGATTATCAACTCTTTACATGTCCTAAGTATTACAACATATCAATCACTTAGTATGTGAACTCAGACCAGAAATTCCTACAAGTAGGTTTTTATTAACTTTTACATGGACGTATTTAAAAGGAAACACAGCAAATGTCTTTAAAAAAGTCTAGGAGCCTGGTCCCTTAAACAGTTTGTTATTATCTTTTGCTGCTTATTCAGTAGGTTTAAAGGGGAAGGTGCTCTTGATTACACTTAATATTTCAATTCTAGAGTGGTGGTCTGTAGATTTGTGTTCTAACCATTAAGTGAGAAGAAGAAATTAGAAGTAAGGTTTTAGCTGTAGAGTTACTGATTGAATGTTAAGAGTTTGGAGACTTGGCAGTCATGTACTCTAGCAATAACAAATTGATGTCTTTTCTTGTGCCTTCTCAAATTGAGAATAGTTGTCTGGAGTTAATTATTGTTTGAGAAAAATTTGAAGTGTCAGGTATAGCAGGAAGGACTGTTGTGATTGGTTAAGTATACCCACAGCCCACAGGAAAGTTGGAGGTAGAGCATGTGTGCTAGGATGTTGCCAGCCCTGACCTAGCTCCCTGCCTCATTTTACAGGAGATTCTGAAGCCCAGCTAAATGATTTATTCTTGTTTTCTCTTCTTACTCAGTGATAACTAAGGCCTGAATCTAGACCTGCTTATTTCTAGTTTGTTGCTATTTTCACTATAACCTGGTCTCTCATATTCCTATGTGTGCCC